GATCTGCGCCGGCATCAAGCGCCAGCTGCGCTATCTCCATGTGGCCGGGGCCCCCTTTACAAGCTATCAAAAGGAGAGTGGCTTGGTTTTCCATGTCGTTTTCCTGGAATGCATCGCTCCTCAAAAGTACACTGACCACCTCGGAGTGCCCTTGATGAGCTGCAACCCGCAGTGCCGCTGCATTGACGATTCGGTCCTGGGGAGTGTTGAGGGAGACAAGAAACTCGACAATGCTTGCATGCCCTTTATTTGCGGCAACATAGAGGGGTGTTCTTTCTGGCTCTCCCGTCGAAGATCTTTGGTTAACCTGTGCGCCTCGCTCAAGCAGCAAACGCCCAACTGAATCGTGCCCTTCTTGTAAAGCGGCAGAGAGCGCCGCCGCAAGAGTTTCTCCGTTCTCAACCTCCATTCCCGCACCTGCATGGTCTAAAAGACAGGCGACCATCGCTATGTCGCCCTTTCTTGCCGCGATGCAGAGTATATTTTTCTGTTTATTCTCAGACCCGATGTCAGCACCACCACGACCAAGGATGCTTTCAACGGCCATTTCGGGCATATCGAAATTGTCGGTAACTGACAAGAGTCCTGGATCTTCGATAGTAAACAAGGTAGAGTCAAGGCCAAAATCTGTGCGTTCAAGGAGATAGGATGCCACATTTGTGAGGCCATAGTCCACCGCCCAGGTTAACACAGCTAGAGGAAGGTGGCTAAGATGGGGGCCACTGAAAAGGCACTCTACGTCCCACGACGGAGTTTGAGTCCTTAGGATCGAAGTTTTCGCGTCGGGGAACTGCTCAACAAGGAGATAGCGAACAGTAGCACAAACCGCCTGTGTCTCGGAGACTTCATAAGGACTGCCCTCGAGTATTGTTTGGGAGCCTGTGTCTGATGCAATTCCAATCAGTGCGTAGATCTTGTCCCGGGGATCGGTTGCTTTGCATTTTCGAAATTTGTTGAGAAGCGTCTCAAGGTTCGGCCTGTCACGCCACCACGAGGTCGCTCGCAAATACCCAGGCATGATGTCGAGTACGGCTTGAATATGTGTGTCAATCTCAACTCGTACCAACCATGGAGCCATGACAAATGTGCGGGTTGGAACCGTGTAAAGACCGCATCTGATGACTGCTCTTTTCGCGTTGAAGACCTCTTGGATAATCCACACTCGCTGGAACCACGGCCTCTTGAAGAGTTGGATAAGAGCTCGACGCCCCCTAGTGATGAAGTTGCTGTCCGGGCTGTGCTGCTCCATCTCTTCAAGGAAAGCAGGCCACTCGTTGAACCAGGCTTGTGGCGAGTTTCTTCTGTAATCCACCCTCTTCAAGACTCGCTCATCAAGCTCATTCATCCGATTGATGAAAAAATCGGTATCGTCGGTCGCCGGGCCTAACCAGATTTGTACGTTTTGGGCTTTTGCGTAAATCTGACCCATCTGTCGGACTATCAATTTTGTCAGTTCGTAATATACAAACAATTCCCTGTGCAAGCCCACCTTGATGTCCCTTTTCGCGGTCATTTTCTTGATCAATGCAGATGGCATCTACCCAGAGAATATTGTCTTCACTTGGCTGCCGGAGGGAACACAGAAACAGATAGAGATTCGTTCCAATTTTGGCTCTCTGATCATTCATTGTAATTTCAATCTGATCACGGATGTTGCCCCATGTATAAGAGACTGCTTCGTAGGGGACACCGTCGACTTCATGGAGGAAGGTCTGAAATATTTCGCATCGGATGGGATCGCCGTCAATTCCCTTGAACAAACGAAGAAGACGGATGGCGTCTGTGCTCAAGTCAATTGAGGAATGTGAGAACCAAGCCATTGTGAATGGTAATGGGTTTTTGATGATGGTGAAGAGTGAAAAGTGTGTTGGTTGAAGTTGAAGAAGTTGGGTTTCTGAAGTAGATTGGATGCCTCAGCTGAACAGCAAACGGCTCACTCGGTCGTTGTTTCCTGCCATTCAGCCCCTCGGCTTCCTTTTTCGGGACAGCCGACGCCCGATCTGCATGCATAATTATGCACCTTGGCTGGTTTTAAATTTTGAATTGGGTCAGGCAGAAACTGTATTTCCAAAAGAAATATGGAAATTCTTGTGTTCTTTCCATCAATTCACTCCTGTCATTGCAATTGGCAATCAATCAGTTGTCATGCTGAAGACAATGAAGAGTCTTAAAGCACCCCTCCTCCCTACATGCACGCTTCTTCTCGTGACGCGCTCCTGGTTCTTCTCCTCTAAGAGAAAAACCTAGGGGGTTGGTGTTTGCTGGGGTTTATGCCTCTGTACCTCATAATCAACATGCCTTTTTAATATTAAAAATGCCTGTTCGTTTTTTAAAATGCGTTTCTCATATAAGGAATGGCTCTTTATTTATAAGAAGTCCTTTTATTTATCAGTCAGGCCTATTTAAAATATATAGGTATTTTCTATTTCAAAAAGGCATGTTTATTATCAGAGAGGCATAAATATCGCGCTAATAACGATCAAAGGGGGTATTGTAGTTGTCAAAGTCGAAAAGATATCGACGATAAGATGGAAAAAGTCGCAAAAAACAAGTTAAGCCGAAAATAATAATGAACGACATTGAAGAATGCAGCCATGTGAATCAGCTAATGGGGTTCGCAGGTATTCAAAAGAATACAAACGAACGACCACAACCTGCTGTGTCCATGCATGAAGACGACCAGGAAAGAACGAAAAAGAAATGGTTGTTAAGGGAAGTGAACGACATGGACGAGGAGCATTCCATGTTCCAATACCAAAAAGAAATACAGCAGTGCCCTTAGGCTTTTCTCATTACACCTTTAATAGCAACAAGGAAGCAACACAGTCTTAGTTAGTAGGCTAGTATTTGATCCTACCCCAGGAAAGGCCGCAGATGGAAAGAAACATCCTGCCGTCGTGAATCGAACACAGGCCACCCTGTCCGCAAGTAGTGGTACGCTATGCTACTGCCATATTGACCACGGAGCAAGTCAAGTGGCCACTAAAAGGAATGTTGACAGCAGCTGCCAAAACCGACTACTTAAGGCCGCTTTCTTGACTGCCAGCTGCAATTTTTTTGGAATGCCTAAGTAGGCGATGAGCTTGGAAATAAAATAAAAAGCGACCAACTATTTTGATTCTTTGGATTTCCTTCCCCCAATACAATCCCTCCCTCCGTTGTATTTCCTGCCATTATTTTCTTCTCGACTTTTCCTATCCTTTTTTTTTTAACAGATCTTTTCCCCCTCTCGCGTCTTTAATCGTTACTTTTTCTTCTTTTGATAAAAAAGACAAGGAAGAAGAAAAGAAAACGACCGGCCTTCGACCCCGACCACCCGGCCTCGTGCGGAACAAAAAGAGTCAAACAAGTCACAGTTACAACCACAGCAATTAGCCCGCCAACAGCCCCTGAGATGCAGTTCTTTAAATGGTTGAAAGTTTAGTTCGCTGCCCAGCCTAAGAATATGCTCTCGCGCGAGATGACATGCATTAAGTTTCTTTAATTGGAAAGAAACAGTCCCTGTTGTATCTGAGCTCGAATCATCGTCATCGGGATCATCGGGCCAGCGCTCGCTTGGTTTAGGTTTCGAGCGCTGCCGACATAAATAGATAGACCCTAAGAGCGTGCTCTGCCTTCTGGAAGGTGGAAAACGGACCACGAGTGACTTTATGCTCCTTGCTAGGGATCATAAACCGCAATCTCCATTGCGGAGAGAGTCCGGGTCCATGCCTTCAAATATTGAGGTCAGTCGGTATCATCCAACAACCCACCCAAAGTCTTGATTGACGATCTTCTCCTAGATCTGGTCGCTCATAGTCTTGACTCCGGGCCTTCTTCATCTGTTGCCGACGTGCAAACCCATGATTAATTCCGGGATTTGGAAAATAAGGGACTATTACGCAAGGAGTCCACGGACTCGACCCGGTGCTGTCATTTACCTATACAAAAACCAAAATCTGTTGTCTGTGGACATTTATAACGTAATTCCGTAAACTTCAATTGAGGAGATTATCTACATCTCCCATCGGCTCTCGTATAATCTTGGTGTGGACTTGGAGATCGTGCTGCTTCCAAGCCACAACCACAACGTTATTCCGCAATGTCAAACCAGACAAGAGGTCCAGAACTGCAGCCATCGACGGGAAATCAGCGTAGAATGTTGATAACCGGCGTTGGAAATATGTTAAGAATTGGACTTAAAATTAAGAGGAAGGTACCAGCTCGGTATTGCGAAGAGTCATCCGGACCTGGATAGTAAGTATACTTTGCCTTTCACTAAAACCAACAAAAAAGAAATAAAAGAAGAAAAACAGAAGAGTCATTATAACAGCGAGATGATTGGACCCAGAATACTTAAAAAAAACAGGATGAGAATGGTAGCTGCCCTTGAAAGTCTATATATACGCTTAATAAGATTCGATAAAGTGTGATGCGTGGGAGCTGGGAGGTCAGATCTCATGTCTGTTAGTGAACTCTAATTTTTACATACAAACATGATCCTCTCTACTACCCTCAGTAACAAGGTTGAGTTGGCCATGCCGGTGTCACCTGGATAATCATATGCAGTCCAGTGTCCATCAATAGCAAAGCTCACATCTCGCGCACAAAAAAAAGATGTTATTTCATCCCATTTTAAAACCTGCAGTATTCATCCAAACTGTCACGGCGCTGGTCCTGGGCCTGGGAAACCTAGGAGAAAGCCTACTATATAAGCCATTCAAGTGCAAGTCCTGGGGACTTGTAATCTTGTATCCTTTTGTAAGGGCATGGCTCAATGGGCAGAATGGCTCCCAGTACACGCCGTGACACAAACTCATAAAACACAATTGTTATTCACACCGGATAAAAGGGCGCCAGTTAATTGTTTCCTTCAAAAAGATATGTTTCAAATCCCAAACTCATATAAAAGAACAATTATTTATCATTTCAACCGGGATGTAAAGGAAGGGTTTATTTGGGCTTCAAAGTAATTAATTTCCATCCATGGTAGCAGTGAATTACCACAGATCTAAAAAACAGGGCGTGTGGCTCAGTTGGTAGAGCGCCCGCTTAGCATAATTCAAACAGCATTGCGGAAGGTCCCCGGTTCGATTCCGGGCTCGTCCATCATCCAGGTCTTGTCTGACCAGGTCGACGAAATCCTGGTTATCTTTTTAGTCAAAAGTTTTTTATGACGGGAATTTTCATTTTTGGTGGTTTGACAGGGACAAAGGGATGATAAGTGTTTGAAAAGGGGGAGGGAACAATGAACTAGGATCTCTTTCTTCTTCCTACTCCTGAGAGGAAAAATCAATATATCATTACTTGATTTAAATGAACCTTTGAGAGATCCCTTTTGTGAGTCAAAACGACTTTATTTCAGGAATACGAAAATCTTTGTAGCAACAATGTGTATTATACGCCGGAAAAGGCAAGATGAAATCGTCCAAAAGCAGAAGAGTTACCAGTTCTTTGTTGATCTCTTCAGAAAAAAGAGTAACGTGGCAATGAAAGTAAGGCGTAAACAATGAATCATCTTGACAACGATGCTGAGAGATCTGCTCGTCAAACCCTGATTTGGTGTTGATAGCATTTCCTGTGATTCAACACTTCTATCCCTGTCATGTCGCAGTCAAGATCAGAGCATCGCCGGAATGTTGAGTCCGACCGGGAAACAGACTCGGAGCAGCTTGCCGTTGACCCCCGAGCCGCAGGAAACCGGGCTCCAGCATGGGCAGAGAATAGAGCAGACTTGATCGGAAGCCTTCCATATTTTCGACAAGCCCAACAAGGCGTCTATCAAAATGGCATGATAATCCACGGGGCATTGATTGATGGCTATGGAGGCGAACACACTTACTTTGACGACGACCTCATTATCACCAAGCTGGATGGTGGTGGAGATTCGAGTATAATCGCCTACCAGAGACATGCGTCTGCCAGGTTGACAGCTGCACAGGCTACGCGTGAGCGGGGGAGGTCTGTTGGAATTATTCTGGGTTAGTAATTACATAAACTTCTTCCTTCAAACCAAATTTCCTGAGCTGATATCTGTTTTTCGACAGGCTCCAAAGCAGGAAACGCCGGTCCCATAAAAATTGAACCCGCAAAACCATGTCGATACACAGTCCTAGGCGAATACATTATCACAGACATCTGGTTCGAAAAGCAAGGAGAAAAACAAAACACAGTCACCATGATTCGTTATCAGCGCAAAAACTTTGAGCAACCACCATGGTGGCAAGCATCATCTCGCACATGGGAACCGACCAGCGAAGTTCGCCACCATTTCAGTTATCGACAATGCGGAAGCTGCAGGGAAGTAACACCAAAACGATACTCGATATGGTTCTGTGCAAACATTGAATGTGCAGAGTTTTCCACTCCCTATGGGGATCCTCTGCCTGATGATCTCCGTTTCTCAAAACGATATTTACATTTGAGAACAGCATCAGCCGACAATTCTCTTGATCTTTCTCCTAATCGTCTCACAAAACCCACTTTATTACAAGACATGCGCAAAGGATCAGTCTGCCAAAGATGCAACAAATGCGTTCCGCGGTATTACTGGGATCGATGGATATGCGAAGGCAACTTTGGCTGTGGAAGACTAGTTCCATTGCCAGTCATGATACCCGATCTCTCAACCCTAATCGGGGAAAAACTCAAAGTCTTTGCGCAACCAAAGCATCCTTTTTGGATTCTTGGCGATATTGAAAGTGAACCCACGAGCGAATTCTATCTCAATGGGATTAGATACCGAGAATACAGCCATCCAATGCCCGGCGGAGGAAAAGTTACCTTTTTGAGATCAAAACCCCCCAAAACAACTCCAGGATCAATCTTTGACGATCTTTTCCAAAGTATCACCTGGGGAGCAAATCAAACAGGAGAAATCAATCTTATACGTCATCCAATACAGAGCAGAACTACTGGATCCAGAATCAATCGCTTCGAAGCATTGTATGCTCCCACAGAAGATAAAACAGCTTCACCACCAGTGGAATCATTCGATGAAGCTCCAGTGGCAGTCCAAGCCGTTCTCAACTACTTCACTGAAATCTTGGCATATACCGACGAATCCCCAGACGATGAAGCCGAAGAAGAAGGAGATCCCCAAACCCCCACACAAATAATCCTAACAGCATATGCCGGCGGTGAACAAAAAGAAACATTTAAACCAGCAACAACCCATAATAACGCAAAATCCCAAACAGCAATAACACTATGCTTAGGCAGTCCAGTAAGACTAAGATGGAGATACAACTCCAAGACATATAATCACTATGACAACGACAACGGCATCCCTTTAGACGGAGATCCATTAGAAGACACTAAACATTACTACGCGATACAAGAGCTTAACGAACAAGAAGGATTATCTGTCAGGCAATACGAAAACAGAAAAAGAAATATATTTCGCTCCTCCCCAAGAGATAAATTCGCCCCGACATATCTAAGCACAGATCTTGGACACGGAGATCTGCTCATAACTAGGGGTGGTGAGGAAATAGCGGAGCATTTTGAAATGGCTATTGAACCACATGGGTCGTTACATTTAAGATTGACAATGTTTATTGGGAAAGAAAAGGAGGAAGAACCTGCTCCTAAGGTTATTAAGAAACGTGTTGGTCGGAAGCGGAGGGTAAGGGAAGAAACAGAGTCGGATTCAGCAGCAGCGGAAGAGTTGGATACGAGAAGTCGACCAAAAAGAGTTGTGAAGAAGCGTCTGCCGAAGAAGCGGGTGGGAGGGAATAGTAAAGCAGGACCAAGTAAGAAGGCAAAATCAAAAATACGAGAGGGAGGGAATAGTAAAGTGGGACCGAGCACGAAGCTGAAGACGAAGAGAGAGTTGAAACCTTTGCCGCGGGCTAAGAGGCAGAGTAGGAAGGGGAAGGAAGTGGAAGTCCCGTATGAGTTACCTAGGGGACGTGATCCTGAGCCTGAACCCGAACCTGCCGAACCTGAACCTGAGCCAGAAGCTGAATCAGAGGTGGAACCGGAAGCTGAACAGGAGGCGGAACCAGAACCAGAGTCCACAGAAAATACACAAAGAGGAGTAAACTGGGCAGACGAAAACTTTATCCCCAGTGATCCAGAAGAGGAAGAAATAGTTACATCTCAGCGTAATGCCAGAGGATGGTGTAGCGTAATGGTCGCTGGTGTTGATGGAAAGGGTAATAAAGGAAAGAAAAGAGGTGCTGGGGAAACGGCAGAGGACGAAGGAGGTTGGAAGGGAGTTAGGAGAAAGAAGAGGGTGATATATGGACGAGTTGGCAGACGATGCCGTGAGGTTTGAATATTGTGTGTATGTAAATTAAACAGAGAAATACTTTTCCAAGGGCCAAGATTTGCTCTGTGAAGACATCCACACAGCCATTCTGCAGCCGATAATAGGGGAGATAACATATCTATATTTCCCACAGACTATCCTCCGATCTCGGTGCTTGCACAATCTTTAGCAGATTCTAAACTCTCTCATACTCGCAACAGCATTCTCCCATTGCATCGCCTGACCTTCCATGATTCCTGCCACGTACACCTCGCCTACCAGTCGATATACCACCTTTTGAGACCCAAACTCTGCTTCAGTCTTGCTAGTCAACAACCGCCGAAGAAGATACGGCGTCTTTCCACCATACAGCACAGCAACTACATCACCCTTTTCCGCAAATGCAGGACCCAAACCTATAAACCCCCTCTTAGTGACAAATAACCTTCTATGTGCACAGGCATTATGAGCCGCCGGATTTGATGGGAGCGGTTTCGACAAAGTCCATCCCAGTTTCTTTTCCCTCGACCCAGCAGCAGCAACCAACAGCTTTTGCAACGCCTTTCTCCTCCCTTCCAACCCACCATAAGGGCACTCAATAAACTCTCCCAATTCTTTCATAGTCAATTCCTTCCATTCTTCCGCAGTTTTGAACAACGGATCCGTTACCGGATCCCATGAATTCCCAATCATCTCGACTTCGTCAAATCTGATCCCACTCAAAATAATTTCCTTCTCACCTCCTGCCTCCGAATCCGAATCCCTCAACACTGCATTCATCATCTTTCCCGCTTTGTACACTCTGCCATCCTTGAGCAATGGACATGCTTGCTTGTCTATTTTGTTCATAAACCTTGGTACCCAACTCGGCCAGTCTGACTCCAAACTCGGAGGCCTAACCCAATTCATTATATCCAACTCGCCTGTTTTTCGTATTTCTTTTTTTGTCCAAAAAAGATAAACCTCTTCAACCGAACGGCGGCGGTCCGTTTCCCCCTCACACTCTACTCCAGCAGCAGCAGCAGCAGTTAAATAAAGTCTATCCCTCTCATCCTCACACTTAAACACCCTTAACAAATCCAAAATCTCCAGAGTCAAACCCCCCAACCCTTTCTTCTTATTACTACTACTCTCCTTTCTCAGCCGCTCAATAACTTTTTTCTCTTGTCGAAACCCCTCCAGAAACCGTTTATTGGTTGCCCTACTACCGTCTGCTCCTAACACAACAACAGTTTGCTTTTTGGCAAGCATTCCAGCTAATGCAACCAACAAATGTACCTTCCCACCACCATCAGCACAACCATAATAACCATAACAATATATCCTCCTCGCTTTCTCAAAAACCCTTTCAACATTTTTCATCTCGTCCTTAATATTACACACTCCCCAAACCCATAATAGTCTGTCTTTAAACCCTCCATTTCTAACCGCATCAGCCAATTGTTGACTAATTTCAACTGACTCGTCAGTACCATCAAATATTACTGCCGTCGTCGTTGCCGTCTTGTCTTTTTCCACAGTAAAATCCCGGACACAATAAAAAGGTATAAGTACGTCATATTTTTCTTTTGATGATGACAAGTTTATCGACTCCGTTTTTGCTTGGATTATCGTTGAGTCGGACGGCGGACAAGAGAGAACTCGGATGGCTGATGTTGTTGACTCCATTATGCATTGACGCGTTATTTGTTCTGCTGCTTTGGATGAGAATTTTGGGGTGCTTGGTACAGGCTCTGTAGTTTTGTGATTGTGATGCTTCTAAAAGGAACAAGAAAAAGGTCACAGCGGTTATTGGAAATGATGCTTGGAAACCCCGAAATGAAAATGCGGCTGAGCAATTTCAAGTGGCAGGCCT